GACCTCCTATCATATCTGCTGAAACTCCATTTCTGCCTGTTCTTTCCCAATCTGTTATCTCTGGTCATCCCTAATTCTACACCACTTCAATCTGAGTGCTCCTAATTTTACGGGTTTTTTTCCATTTAACATTAATTGTATCAGAAATACTTCCCCATTATTAAATCATTATCATCACAGCTAATATTCATGGGTGCTTGACTACGTGCTAGTTACAGTGCTAAGAGTTTTACATGCCTGAAATCATTTAATCTTGACAACAACCCCAAAAGCAGATTCTTGGACTGTCCATATTACAGATGGGGCAAGTGAGGCTTAAAAGATCAATTTGCCAAAGTCTGGCAGCTCAGAAGGCTGGAAAGCAGACTAAAGCCCTGATCTGTGTGCGTCCCAAGCCCTTGGCTAGGAACCCCTTCACCCTACTTCCCCTGCACAGCTACTGAGCGATGAGTAAGCATGGAGCGGGTAGGGATGAGGAGGCCAGGTTCTGGGTCTTACACCCTATATGACCTTGGACAAGCCAACTCCCCTCTGCTTTGCTCCTTCCATCAATTCTTTCACCAGACAAGCATTTGCAAATCACTGAGCTATATGCGGTGGATAGAACAATGAATTAAACATGAACCCTGCCCTCAAGGAGATTAGAACCTAACCTGAATCTCCTCGCGCACGGGCAGAATCTAACCCTGTCCCACCTGGGTCACACAGACGTGAAATGAATTAAGGATGCGAAGGAGCGTCCCAAGTGCCCCGCTCCATGTGCTGTAAGAGTAAGTATTTCTGTGGCTGTTCACGGCTGTATATTATTTTATCCACTGGGTGTTCCAAAACGCTCTCAATCATCTTCCTATTGTTGGGCATTTAGTCCCAATTTACTGCTATTATACAGGAAGCTCTGATGGGGATTCATCCAAAGGAAATTATTCAAAAGGAAAAAATAAAAAAAGCCAGATGCACAAAAAGGTGCCAGGCAGCCTTTGGAATGACTGAAGGGACACAGTCCTTCATCTTCAGCCCGTGAGGCCTCAAACCCAACTCACAACCCCTGCGGCCTGCCCCAGCCCACCAGCTGAGCCCCCCGCCCCCCAGGAGAGAGGACATCTCAGTGCACTGTCAACCTTCCTCCCTCACCCGCCCTCCCAGTCCACGGGGCTGACGTTTCTCCCACAAGGCTGCAGTCCCGCCCTTCCTCGTGGTTCCCGCAGTTGCCAAAGGGACCTTCCAGAACACTTCTGTCATGCCCCAGTGCATGCAAGCCCCGTGCAGACCTACCAAGGCTCCCGGAGCCTCCAGGCTCCTGTCAAGTGGAAACATCTTAGCCTGGCATTTGAGAGAGACTGAGGGGGGAGAGCAGTCGTGTTTCCTGAGTCCCTGGGATGTGCCAGGACCACGCTAGGCCCCTTTACATAACCACCACCACAAGTGGCCTCAAGAAGACAGGTGTGTTTATCCCTGGTTTACAGATGAGCAAACTGAGGCTAGGGCTAGCTAAGTGATGGGCCCGAGGGCACATGGCTAGTACACCGTGGAGTTGTGTGACAAGAGCTTAGGCCTGGTGGATTCCAGAACCTTGCCAAAGACCCAGCCCCAAGCCGGCTTTCTGAGTCACCTCCCAGTGCACCCAGCCTTCCTGCCCTACCTGCCCCAGGAGTCCCAGACCACCCACTCTTCTTCAGAGGCAACTCTACTTCCTTCCCCTCTGACCTGGGGAGTGGGGACCCTTCCTCACAGCCACTGAAATTCCACTTGGCCTTTGGTGCCCAGGGCACAGGCTCCAGGAAGCCTTCCCTGATCACCAAAACAGGAATCCATGCTTAGCCTATGGAACAGCTGGCTCTTCACCTCCCCAAGTCCTGTCTGCGGTTCTCCAGCCAGACTGTGAGCCCCCTGAAAAGAAGGATGTTTCCTCGGACACAACAGGGGGCCTGCAGGAGGTATACCCAGAGATTATTTTTCCAATTGCACAAAACTGGGCCTCTGAGAAGACACTACAGGCTGCTGGCATGGCCACTGGGAACATGGCTTTGGTCTACTCTGCCTGGATTGAAATTGGGGCTCCCCCATGACTTAGCCATGTGACCCTGAGCAACTGCCTTTCCCTTGCCTGTAAGCCTCAGTTCCCTCAATGTGTAAAATGGGAAGAAGCATTCCTACCTCACTTGTGAAAATTGTATGAGTTGTATGGGTAAGCCTTTCCAACAGGGGCTGGCATGTCGTAGGTTCTCAGTAAATGCTGGCTGTTCCTATTCTCATCCCCAAGCCACCTGCCCTAGCAGCGCCTCCTCGTCCCCATCCCACCTGGTACCCTGCATTCCCACCCTTGTGTTTTCAGGTTATTAGGGTCCCAGCAATGCAGAAGGGGTAGGGCTGGGTGAACAGGGGGGCTAACTAGACTGAAAGCCAACCAGTCTTCCCAGAGAGCCAATGGGGGCAGGGAGCCCAGAGCAGCCCACTTCTAGGGAACCCTGGCCAGGAAGCAGAAAGCCAAGGCAGCCACTCTGTCAGGGCTCCTCACGAGTACCCCACTGCCCCATCCCTCCGGACATCAGAAGCACTTGGGCCACAGAACTGCCTTTGTCTCACCAGACCCAACACAGAGCACTCTAGCTGGACCAGCCCCAGCACATCAGCTGTGGCTGACCAGCTGTGACTCTGCTGGACACCAACCCGGCACGCCCAGATACCACCCCAGACATATCGCTATGGGGGAGAGAGGGGCTCCGGAGGCAGACAGCCCCACACTTTCCAGCTGTGTAACCTCAGGCAGGTGACACAACCTCTCTGAGCTGCAGTTTCTCATTTGTACAGAGTGGATAATACCTGACAGGGCTGCTGTGAGATAAGGCAAAGTACTAGCCCAAGGTAACTGCTCAGTAAATGCCATCATCCTGATTGTGTAATCACTAATATTACTCCAGGTAGGGATTATCATCCCCTTTTAATAAATGGGGATACAGAAGCCCAGAAAGGCTCACAGAGAAGTCCATGTTGGAGCTAACACAGCGCAGTCCAGTCAAGAGACCCTATCCACTTTCTCTGCAGGCTCAGGCCCAGAATATTGCTGGGCCTCCAGCATCCTCTTGGCTCCATATACTCCCAAGGTCAAGGGCTGCTGGCTGCCCATTGCCTCAGCTCTGGCCCACTATCTGTGAGGCAGCCTGACCTTTTCTCCTCACCTTTCGGGGTCATGGGCTGGGAGGCCAATGTGAGACCCCCTCCTAAAGGTTGGCCTCAAGCTCCAGGCTAGAATGCTCAGTCTCTGTCGAAGACCTGTGTAGGCAACAGCCACAGCGATGGGGACGCAGGTATCCAGGCTGCAGGAACTTCAAACCAAGGGTAGAAGACCTGGGTGCCTCAGTGCTGGCCCTCCCACTCAGCTGCTAGGTGACCTTGGACAAGTCATTCTTCCTCTCCAGGTCTCATTCAAGCTTTCAACATTTACTAAGTGAGGACTACCGACGGTGCCAAGCATCATTCTCATGCAGGTTCTATGAAAGCTCCATGAAGCTCACAGAGCTGAGCCCAGGGAAATGCCACATGGCCCAGGAAGGGTGTTCATAGTAACAATGCCCCCTGCACTGATCTCTAGGACTACCTCGCAGTACCCTTCAAGGGACCATGCTCTGCACACCACAAAGACTGTGCGTGGGGTTGCCAGGCAGACACGACCTCAGGCTAGCCAGGAGAAGCCAGCTTCCTCCCTGCACAGAGCTGGCAGCGCCTCCCTGGGCCACAGCAGCTCAGAGAGGAGGCTGGCACAGGCTGCCTCTGCCGCAAGCTCCATCTGGAGGAATGGGTGGGCAGGCGGGCACACAGCCGCCCCTATTCTCCACATCCTTGTCCAGGTCAGGCAGCACTGTCTTCCAGGAGCTTCTGGGGACTCCATTCCCATCCCCAGCTCTCAACATGGCCCAGCTGCTGCTAATTCTGGAAGACTCCTAACGCTGGGAGATGGGGGAGAGATGGAGCAGCCAGACCCCACACAGCCCGAGAGGTCCTAAATCCAGCCCTCTTACACTCCCACCTTTGCAGAGGAGGTGATATGCAGATCCAGAAGTGAAGGCAGGAACACGTGGTAGTGCCTTTCCCCCACCAACGCATTCTCAGAGTTTGTGGGGGGGGGGGTAGCAAGGGTCCTAGCCGGCAGCCAACAAGGAGACCAGTATCTTCAGAACTCCTTCCTAGTCCTTGTCCAGTGCCTCAAGGTCCCCATGGACCATCCTGGAGCAGTAAGTCTGCCAGGCAGTGGCCTCAGCACCTGGTAAGTTACCCTAGTGGCTACAGTCCCTTGCCCGCCCCCCCATGCCTGTCCCCAAGACCCCAGCTTCTCAGGCCCTCAGACATTCCTAAGTGTGAAGGTGCCAGACACAACTAGAACCCACAAGTCCTCTCCCTCTAATCAGGGGAGCAGCCTTGGGCCAGAACAATAGGAAACCAGAACCCCAGGGGCGCCTGGACCTCCACCCATCCACCCAGCTTTGGGTGACTTGGAGAGGAGATGCAGTGGGAAGTGAGGCCAGGGTGGAAAAAGGTCTATAACCAGAGGGTGAGGGAGAGGATAGGAGCTGCCCAGCACCCCAGTCTCTAACCAAGAGACTGGCCTGCGACATCTGAAGCTTAGACAAGAAGATCCAGGGAACCCCTGGCCTCCATGGAGGCAGCAGGAACGATCTCAAAGAACAGAGTGGCCCAGCCAGGGAGCCCAGTGCCCAGCAACCGTTCATCCCAACAGTAACCACCAGCCCACAGCCTGCCCACCTCTCTCTCCAGGCCTCGGAGAGGCTGCAGACCTGGGAGGCAGGGAAGAACAGCACAGATCTCACCACCACCACCACCACCACCACCACCACCACCAACACACACAGGCCAGGGAGTCAACAGCCTGCAAACTCAGTTCCTCCCGGTCTTGTCCCTGGTCCTCCCCAGGGTCGCAGGCCTGGCCTACATGTACTAAGTCCCCAGCCCCCCGTGCCACCTGACGCCCCCCTCCACATGCCTACCTGAGCCCGGGGTGCCCCATCTTGGGCAGGCTGGGCGGGGGGCGTCCCGTCGGCTCCTGAGGGGCCGGGAGGCCGCGGGGCGGGGCGGGCGCACGGGGCCGCGGCGGGCTCTGCGGAGCAGCCTGTTCCGCGACACCCCCGCCCGCTGATGGATGCCGACTGCAGCAGCGGCGGCGGCGGCGGCTCGGCGTGCGCCGGGGGCTGGGCACCGTGCCCACAGCCCCGGGCCTGGCGCCCGACGCGCGGCCAGCCCCCGCCCCCGCCCGGCCTCCGCGCCCAGCCCAGGGGCGGCCGCCGCGCGCCTGCCTGCCTGCTCCCTGCGGCGGCCCTGCCCCTGCCTCCGCCTCCTCTCGGCCAGCCTCCCTCTCCTCCTCCTCCTGCTTCTCTCTCTCTCAGTCTCCCAGGCCACTTCCTCCCCGGCGCTGTCACCGGCCGTTCCCCGACCCCTGCGGGACCGCGATGGAGCCACGGAGCCAACTCCTGCGCCCTCGTGGCCCCCCCATCCCGCGCCCCCAACCCCGCCACCCGCGGCCCCCCCGCGCAGGGACGACCCCTCTTGGGAGCTCGGCAGGGACAGAGGGAGGGGGAGGGGAGAAGAAGGGGAAGGATCCCTGACTCAGAAGGGGTGACTCAGACTCAGTGGGCCTCCCAGCCCACCGAGCAGAGCCGGATACCCTCACCTCCCCAGCAGCAAAGAAGGGCACGATCTCCCAGGGACTCAGGGCTCCTCCCCCACCAGGGAGGAGGTATGTGCAAAGGTCTCCTAGGATCCTGTGGGTCTCTGAGCGTATGTGTGCATTTGCCCATATGTGCCTTGGTGGCAGTGACCCTAAGTATAACTGGGGACTGTTTTTTTTATAACTGGTACACATGGTTTTTTTCTGGATGTTCGTGAGCACACACAGGGTGTGCACCTAGGCTCCTGGAAGGTAGGGGGCGGGGTAGCCAAGGGGTCTATGGCACTGAGGATAGGACTCAAAAACCACATGACAGCCCTTCAGCGGAACTAACTCAAAAAGCTGGTCCCAACCACGACACCTCCAGCTCCCTCTATCCACAGGCTCGGACCTCAAATGGCAGAGGACTGTGGGAGGCAGAGGGCCTGGGGTCTGGTCCAGTTCTGCCACTGTCTTGGCCAATAGTCTGGGGCAAGTTGTTCTCCTGCTTTGGGCCTCAGTTTGCAAACAATCAAAGAAAGGGTTGGACAGACTCACCTCTAGGATCCCATTTCATGGTGGAAGCCCCAGGGAAGACAGTGGGTAACTCCCAACATAATCTCCAAAGACTTCTGCCCATGGTATCATCTGTAGCCCACATGACCCCTACTCCCCAGCCTCTTCCCCCCTGACATACAGATTTTTCCACTCTTCAAATAATACCCTAGTACCTACTACATACCAGCCACTGTTCTAGGCCTCCCAGACCCCACTGCAGTGAAAACCACAGAAGCCCAAAGCTGGGAGGCAGCCCAGACATGAGCCAAGCCATCTGCCCTCCCCCCTCCCCGCTCCCGCAAGCTGTAGGTCCCTCAGTGTCAGCCTCACCAGTGGGCTGTGTCCCTCAGTGTTGACTCACCACTGTCCAACTCTACTCCCTGTCTCTGAGTGTTTGTGTGGCTGCTCCCTCCTGGTGACCTTACAACCTAGGTCCTAATACCACAATAGGGCCTCCAGATAATGAGGCTATGCCTTCTCCCCAGCACCCTTCAGAGAACACCCCCACACCAAGCCTTAACTTCTCCAACTTAAACACGACAAACGCCACCAGATGTTCCCAAGACGTAGCTTCCAGTCCCTTCACTCTCCGTGCTGTCCACTAGGCTCAGGAGTGGGCAGACACCAGAAGAAAGCCAGCTCCTCCCAGCCCTAGAGAACATGCCCTTGCTCCAGACAGGAGCCAGGAAGACGGACAAAGCAGCCCAGAGCCAATTCACAGAACGACCAGAATCCCGCTGGGCAGACTTCCTTAACAGATGTCCTCCTTCACCTCTGGACTTTTCACTCTCCAGCTTCCCAAATTCCTGTCAGGAACTCACCAGGCCCTCTAGGGTATGGCCTTGGGCAAGTCACTTTGCCACTGGGGATGTTTGTTTGAGTTCAGTTACTGCACATTCGCTCAAATGAATGAGGGAAAGGATCAGTAAAACTCCAGAGTCACGTCAGATGAACTTGCTGTTTCTTTTACACATCTGGTAAGAAATCCTTGACTCTCTGCTGGCCACTATTTTTATTCCAGATTGACTCCAAGCCTCTTCTGTTCACTGACCTTCCCAACCCTGGGCTCCTATAGGCAGGACAGACATGTGGCCAAAGCCCATGTTCCTCCTAGTTCAGTCTCCTTCTCTGGATCCTCCTCCCCTTCCTTCCTTCTCCCTCCTCTCCTGGGTCAGGGCCATTTTCCCACCCTCCTCAGCTAGACGGAGCCTCTCACTTTCCCAGAAGAATCTGAGCTACATTCCAAAGACCAAGGCAGGATATTCCCAGACATCATTCTGGATTTATACTCAAAAGGCCCAATTAATTCCCTTCAGGTCAGTGGGACCATACAGAAACGTGGGCTTCTTCTACTATGGTCATTATTTCTATGATTAGTATTGACCAGTATTTCTATTAGCACGTTCCAGTTTGCAAAGTACTTTTGTGTGTGATCTTCACAACATCTTGTGAGATAATATCATCCCCATTTTATAAACAGGCAGGCAGAGGCCCAGAGTGGTGAGTGACTTGTGCAAGGTTATACCTGCTCCATCACACTAGCTCTCTGAACCATGTTCCCCTTGACCCTGCAATAACCTTTTGCAGAGAAATCTGGTGGAGGGTGGGCTGGGGGTACTCTGACGAACGCATGGCTCCTTATGGGCGTCAGCTAAAGTTAATACTCTGGTTCCTTTGCTGCCTTCCTTCCCCAGGCAGGGAAACTGAGGCACAGGAACAAGACCTAACCCAGCACCACCTCTCCTGAAAACCCCCATGGAGAAATGCTAGGGGCCCAGGTGGACGAAGAAGAGCCCACCCAGGGAAGAAGGTCTTTCCAGCTCCCTTGGTTCTTCCTGAATTCTGCTTCCAGCCCTGGCTCTACCACTGTCTGTGTTACTTGGGCAGAACTGACCTCTCTGAGCCTGTTTCCTCATCTATAAAATGGGAGAAATTCTTCCTGCCCTACTGCCATTACGGGGTTGGTGTGATGGGGGGGGTCAGCAAATGCTGGCAGAAGAGAAGCGACAGGACCCTGCCTCCCTTCTCTGGTTTGCCCAGGAGGTGGGATAAATAATTTTCTCTTAAATTTTAACTCCAAGGAGCTTGATGGAAAAGGGCCAGGATATCAGAAAGCCAGAAGGATGGAAATGATTTGCCCCACTGGCTGGGAAGCCAAAGCACACAGTGTCAGCCATGGCCTCTACCCCCCACCCCGCCCCAAAGCTGGGGCAGAGATGACACTGAACCCTTCAAGCAGGGCCCCTCCTACCCTCTTTTTTTTTAATCTTCAGTGGCCTCTGTCAAGGTCACCCCAAGTAGTCAGTGGTCTCATGACTCCCCGCCAGCAGGGGCCCCTTGGTTCCCCGGAGAGCAGGATGGGTGGTTAGTACTCCTGGCCCAAGGTCTTAATCTTTCATTCAGCAAACAGTAATGTTCACACTGAGCTGGGCCCTAGACTCAGGGGAGGCGAGAGGAATTGGGTAGCCTCCATCTTTGGACTCAGTGTCAGACCAGTGGGGTAGAACGGCACATAAGCCAGCCCATCAGAGGGCACACTGTAAGATGAATACCACCATTTTCTGAGGACTTACTTTGTACCTGACACCAGACACACATTCATTTGTAGAATGCTCACAATAATTCTCTAGCATCGAAATCATTCACTCCTTTCGCAGCTAAAGTAAGTGATGCTCGAAGGGGTTAATGACTTCCCAAAGTTCACCCAGCGAAGAAACAGCAGAACCAGGATGTGACTGCCATGTCTGTCTGATGCCAAACCCTAAGCGTCAATCCTTATGCTCTCTTCCCTGCCCCAGAGCTGTGCCCACTACTACGGTAGCCACTAGCTGCATGTGGCTACTGAGTCCTTGAACCGAGACAGATGCAAATTGAGGTGTATTGTAAGGCTAAAGTTGGCACTGGACACTGAAGATTTAATTGAAAAAGAGTGTAATAGAGCTCAGTAATTTTTGTGTTGAAGTATCTTAGATATATTGAGTTAATAAAATATATCATTAGACTATGTCATTGGTTTCTTTTTGCTTTTCTTTTTTCACGTGGCCGCTAGAAAATTCTAAATTACAAATGTGGCTCACATGACATTTCCTTTAATCTGCATGGATTTAGATAGTCTGAAGTCCTAACCCAGCCCCTGGGGCTCAGAGAAGGCTTCCTGGAGGAGGGGATGCCCAAACTGAGCTTGGTTAAAGGCAAGGTCGTGGAGAGGAGGGTATTCCAGGGCAAGAAAGCTGCAGGGCATCTAGCTTTGGCCCCAGAGGGCTGCAAGGCCTGGGTGGGCTGAGCTGCAGCCCCAGGCAGCTGAGAGCTGGGCCAGTCTCTGGGGGAAGCTACCAGAGCCAAACTTTCCAGAGCAGCACAACCCACAGGTCTGGGACAGTCTGCCTGACAAGGCTGTTCTCACTGGTCTTTGGCACTCTCTGGAAGGCACTGCAGGGTGGCTGCATCTGCCTGCGTGTAGAGAGCAGGCAGGGCGGACAGGCAGCAGCACTCACCTGGCAGGGACCTCCCCCTTCCCACTGCCCCCCATTTCCTCGCCTTCAGATTCCTCCAGGAAGGCTCCCAAAGCGCTGCAGTCCCCAGGGACCACCCTTCCCTCGAACCTTCCAGGCCAGACCGTGGGAGCCGCCCTCTCCCGCATTAGGTCATACTCTGGTGTGGAATGATGACAGAGCTGCACGGCGGGTCACATAGTACAAAGTACTTTTCTAGACCTATTGTGGTGTTGCTGAAGAGCATGAGGGCAACATTTACCTCTGTGGAGGGGGCCAGAGGCAGGGATGGGGGATGCTCATGAATTTGTACAGGAGCTGTGTGACCTTGGGCAGGGCCTCTCTGAGCCTCAGTTCTCACCTCTGTAGAATGGGGATGATATTGGCACCACCTCCTAGAGCCTAGGAAGAGGACATGAGAGAAAACCCACAAAGGGCTGAGCATGTCCCTGAGTCTCTCCAAAGCTTTCAAAGTTGCCTCCCCCCAGGAAGTTTACCCCTTCTGCCTCTTCCACCCGTGTTCTACCCAGCCTGTCCCTCCT